TATCAGTTAGAGTCAGTCACCTTCAGAGAATGGGATTTTTTATGTCACTAAACTGTGTAATATATTAAAAATTATACGAAGAAAAATATCAATAATAATGACTTATAGATAACATTATTAGCTATTATTGCACGAGGGCAGTCTTTAAGGTTTGCTAGGCGATTTCAAAAACAAATCTTCAAGTTATCAAATGTCTTGTTTAAAAATATTATACAGGACAGGTACCTATAATAGGGTTTGATACGATGTTTCTATTTCAACATGATAAAAACGACAAGCCAAAATTATATAAAGAAATGTCTATTTTTAGCAAACTTAAATTTAGAGTTTTTTCTAGAAAAGTATGTTGGACGTGCATTTATTTTTTAACCCAATATTCCAGCTGGGTGTATGATTATAATTATCATAATGATGCTAGTACCTACTACCTACCTACCAGCTGTATTCGAATAGCGACTTAATTATTTGCTAAATTTAAATAAATTGACCACGAAAACGGTGACACGGATTTAGGAGAAAACATGATAAATATGCTATTTTTTTACAGTTAAACATATGTACATATACTTAACACCTGTGTCTTATGTCCAGCTGAAAGACCGCTCGAATTTTATTTTCAAATGAATCGTTTTCACTCAGTTTGGGCTGGTTATATGGGTACCACTATACAGTATATACCACCTATAGGTATAATACGAGTAAACGATACCAAGACACGTTATTGGTGTCGCTGATGTGAATTATATTATTATAGGTACCTACCTCATACATGGTGATTAGCCGTAAGTTTTATTTTGCGCAGCGAAATAACCTACAAACGAATACAAAATGTATAAAATGTATAAAACGTAAGTATATTTATTTATATATTACACTCGCCTTATAATAATATACATAATAATATAATGTAGTACGTACACATTGCATCCCCTCTATACGACAGTAACCCGAGCGTAGTCATGATGTGTGCATTAAAGTATATTGACCCACGTTGACTGTTCAACTTTTAATACAGTATAATATTATTGCGAATGACCAGTTTGGAAGATATTTAAAGCGTAAAAAAAAAAAAGAAAAAGAAAACAAAGTGGCCGAGTCCAAGACTTGATTGTTTATATATATACATGTATTATGTATGTACATAAACTACTACTCTGACCGCTACGAAAAAAAAACCATCTATTTGATATATACAGAAATATTGTTAAAAATACATTAATATAAATGGCGTGCGAATTTATGAGTTTGGATGTGACCCGTGGAGACGTACGACAGATCGTGTGTGTGGGTATTTTGGCAGAGATGTAATTGGTTTCGTGTGATAACACAATGTATAGGTACCAGCTATATATTATACTTATTTAAAATATTTATTATAATGTGTGTGCGTGTGTGTGTGTGTGTGTGTGTGTGTGTCGTGTGTAAAGCAGTGGGAACGGCAACAAAAGTGAATTTCAAACACGTTTTAGGTTTTTTTGGCCGATTCCGATTTGTCTGTACCTACCTAATACCAGCTATACCTCTATTATAATAATACATTCATACAACTTATGTCGTATATGTGCGTCTTACGAGGTCTGGCTACAATTTAAATATGAGCCTACGGCCTACCTATTATAATTATTTTATCTTTTACCCGTCTCGATTGGTTACGAATCGACGTGTGTACGCATTAAACATTAAAATATTATTGTTTGGTCGGCATAACATTAAAGTCTTAACAGAATCATTATTGGTTTCCTTTTTTGTGTTCATGTATATATGTTGTTTGATAAATTTGACAGACTGGGTCACTGGATGAATCCAGACAATGGTGGATTTGCAACCATTTTATTGGCCGGGGGAGTCCTAAATCCTAAATACAACATAATATTAACAGAAATTAGTGAGACGAGAATTCGACTATTACACAATTACACTGCACGTAGATGATATAGATAAATCTCCATTTTGAAAACACAAAAAAGACAGTATAATATACATTTATATAAATATTAAAAATTATTGACCGTCATGTTTTTTGAAAGTTATGGGGTGGTGTGATTCAATTTTTAGTAATCTTTATGGTGCAAAAAAAATTATTTTTTTTATTTAATACGCAATATGAATCATAAAAACGAAGTAAAAAATACTTTAATTTCAAATACTGGCAATCCTGGTACATAATACTACGTGCATTGCGAAGTCAGTCGCAATAGAAATTTAATCCGATACATGCATTATATTTACATTATATTATTATATTCTATATAATTATCAGTTTAAACAGTTGTTTTTGTTTTGGTTTCTTAAAGACCTACTTATACTTACATCGTAGTTACGTGTAGTCGTGTGTATATATATATATATATAGGTACAGGACTGTGTTCGACGGACGGCTTTCTATTATTTAGTATTTCTATTTATTTTCTCAGAAACCTAAATGATACAATTTATTAATAATCACACGTCATTCGATTATTACCATACAAATTCAAGTGACTGTATTTAAAAAAGAAATTTAAGAAATTATTATGTGTTATATTCGAATCGCAATATTCACTGCAGCAGACGATTAGGTGTATTTCAAATAAATATACAGACACGTCATGCACGCGTATATTAATGTCAAATTCGTATAAAAAATTCGTGCGTAGATAAACAATTTAGGTATACATTGTATGCCTAGATACAATCTACAACATGTTATTAAATCGTATCCAAAAACTGACGCCTAGCTGGACGTGAAAGATCAAAGCGCGGTCAACGCGTCTCTATATACTCGCGGCGGGTATATTATTATGTTAGGTAAGCAGTGTTTCGCGGAATTTTATTGTATCCGAAAGGCTAATATATATTATTCGTACGACGCTCGGATGACGCGATCGTGATAAAATAATTGCCATCTCGGGGGGAAGGCCCGAGAACGATTACTGTACGAGAAGTGAAAAAAAAAAAATTCGTACCCGCAAATAACACAGCTACAGGTGTAGGTACTGGATATATTATTTTCTTTTCGGATATCTAAATTACGCATTTACACATTATGGCGTATAAAGTAAATGTTATTATGTATGCCACCTGTATCGTTCGCCGGAAGCGACTTCGTGTTTCGATTAAGCCGCGTGGCGCTATATATACATATATATATATATATATATATAATAATACGCAGCGACTCACGACGGTGGTCCGTTTTTGCATGATTAATCGGACTGCCGCTGGGTCATTAGCCCAGCATCATTGTATTAAAACATTACTGCACCCTGCAATCATCGTTCATTAAATTCGCGAATGTTGGGAAAAACACTTGCCATATCACAGTCACCTGTACCTAATAGATAAAATATGCGACAACACGTCGTACATTATATACTCTTGTGTACAAAATACAAAGCAATAATTGATAAAAAAAAAAATATTAAAAAACCATTATAATACCATTCATAATATATATACTATCTAGTGTTTATAAGGGACTAACGGGAGACTGATACATCTCCCATAAAAAATCAAGTCCTCTCCAAGTCCAATATCATTGATTTTAAATCAAAAAAAAATATTTGGGCTAATTATAGTCACTAAAAATGATTTTTCGATGAGGCGAAAAAAAAATTGGTTATGAACTTATACAGGTATATAATATAATATATATTATAAAATATATTATGTATGACTGTAACTAAAAATTTGCTATTCTCGATATTGAATGAGACGTTAACAGTATTTTAAAAAATGAAGAAATATATAATTTAAAAGATTGAAAATGTGTATTAAAATAAAATTTTAATTTGGTTAATTAAATCGTATAATATACCTAGTATTACCTAGATATTAATTATTTATCCTACTTGAAATATTTATTATAAAAAACTTCGTAGAAGCGGTATAGGGTAAAATGGAAATGGTCGAATAGATAAATAAAGAAAAAATATAAGGGCGATGGCTTATACCCCAGAAAATAAAACTAGTCCTTGTTGCGCTACTGAAATTAATCGTTATGTTCTGAAACGACAGAGTAACCCTTGTATAGTGTTTGTTTAATAATAATAATGCATTCATTATTATTTATTACAATGTACTGTGTACATTATAAATGATATTCTATTATGGGAGTTTAGCCGGATTTGAAATTGTCACAACAGCCGAACAAAATTAGACCACTCGTCTAAATAAATAAATAAATAAAGTAACAAAATCCAGTATAATATTATGTTTACCTTTATGATATTATAATAGTCGTGAGTAGGTATTATTATTATTATTTTAGTAAGGCCGCGGAGGTCACCTACGATTTTCTATAATTATTTTATCCGTCCTATTCCCACTAATGGAATCGGGATCGAGATTAACACTTAATGTATTATAAATTATAATAATTTAATAACAATATTCTCCTAATAGATTATAAAAAAAACGTAGTAACGAACGTCGTCATAAAGGCTTTTATTATTGCACGCGTCACCGGGCTTAGCTTATTTATATACAGCTAGGTTGGTATGTACTATGTACAATGTATTATATGTATCGTATGTATACTATATACGCGTCTCGAACCGGTCTCGAATCTCGATAACACAAAGTGCGCTGCAGACTTATCTTAAAATATTATATTATTATTTAATGTCATCGTGAACCATATTTCTGTACACTTGCGTGTAAACGTGTAATTCTATTTATTATTATTATTATTATTATTATAGGTGTAGCAGACGTCCCGTATGATATAAATTATTGATGAATATTTGTGATAAAATATAACGACAGTTCAGTCAGGTTGACGTGTGTGTTGAATACACAATATTATCATACTTAGGTATATATTTTGTAGTATGAATCCCACTGCAGGCGTTCTCATATCGAGTATATAATATTATGTAATGATCGTTGTCGAGCAACATCTGCAGAGGGCCCGCGTTTTCCACGTCCGTGCGCGCAGACTCGAATAACTTTCGGAATTTAAAAATGAAATCACAAGAAGTTGGAATTTTCGTACTCATAATAATTGTCTATAATTGCAGCGTATCCCGCGGACGAGAGCCACGACATCAATCACCGCCATGGTACGATGATGAGCACCGCTGTTGATAGCAGCCCCCGAAGCGGCGACGAGATCGGTGCCAACAGGGCGGCGAGAACGAAAAGACAGGGTTCGTGGACGATGGTGTCCGGCCCGTGTCTGACGGGCCGAGGCACGTTGGGCAAGTGCACGAGTTTTCGGGCGTGCTATCCGTACATCAAGACGCCAAACTTTCAGTACTGGGACTCGTGGATGGCGGGAATGTACGACACGTGCACTTATATAAGTGTCGACCACAAACAGGTGAATATACGGTATAAATGTATAATACAATATACAATACTATACAATGGCGTGAAGCAATGTACCTATAACAAATTGGCAAATTCACGTCGATGCACCGAAATTTACGGAATTATAAAAATGTTGTTTTACAACTTCGATTATCGCTTTAAATGATAAAATGGTAAAATACTATAATATTATGCATTATAATTATAACGTTATATTTTGAGTTTTGTATTTTGTACTTTCAAAAATAAAATAAAGCCGACTAATAAAAACGTATGCCCATCACAAACAGTATTACAATAACCTTATCTCGATCGGCATTTAGATGTTTGGCGTGTGCTGCGATCACCCGAGCTTCATCGGAGAGAGCCACAACGAAGAAGGAATGAGACCACCCCCGTCGATGGTAATGCCACCGAATTGGCCACCACCTTTGCCAACGCATCCTCCGGACCACACTATTCCTCCAATTCCTACACATCCTCCACAGACGGCACCACCAATGAAGCCACAGCCTCCACAGCAACCGACTATACCACCATGGCCTCCACAGCAACCATCGATACCATCATGGCCGCCATACGATCATCAAAATGTCACTACTACTACCCCGCATAACAAACCTACTACCACAACCACCACCAGTACCACACCAGCTTATGTTGACAATGATGGAGGGTACGATTATCAATGTGGGCTGAAGAACGGTCCTCAAGATCAAGAGAGAATCGTCGGTGGTCAAAACGCGGACCCCGGAGAATGGCCATGGATTGTAAGTATACATATTATAGCCTATAGGTAGTATGTATAGTAAACAATGTGTTTACGCGTGTAATGTATGTATTATATCGTCCACAAATGTCACGGTAAAATATCTTTTATGTTCATTGGAAATCGATGAAACTAGGTCAATCTGCAAAGTAGTCTACACGCTCATAAGCTTAAGCTTGATAACCTATAAGTAGCCACGTAGGTATCTATATTATAATCTATACATTTCCGATGTCCATCGCATGCACGGCACGATAATGTCTTAATATCAATCGAAATAGAGAGATCATCTATAATGTGATGATGTACATATTATAGAATTGCAAAACACCATGATAATATGCTCTAATAATAATAAATATAATTGTTTGACATTGTAATCTTGTCTATTATATTACAGCTCAACACTCGGTAGTATTGTTACTCCGGTGTATAATTTTTCGGTTTGCCATATTATTATAGATCCATAGTTAGATAATGATTTCTGCGAGTATCTGCACACTTACACATAATTTATAGTGAATACAAATCTAAAACGACAATGGTTCGTGCTGTTCTCACTGTTGTTGTTGGTATCCATATAGGTAGGTACCTAAATTAAGTGCTCAATATAAAGGTGCTTGTAAACAATTTTAGGTAGCTATATTCAATGCAGGCAGACATTTTTGCGGAGGATCTCTAATCGATGACACACACGTGTTGACGGCAGCACATTGCGTTGCTCAGTAAGTATATATTGACATGCAGGATCAAATGTTTTTAAACATCTGATATCATCTTGATATTCTGAAATTGGATTGCAGCATGAATTCGTGGGACGTAGCTCGTTTGACAGCAAATCTTGGAGACTACAATATCAAAAGCAAAGCTGACGTGAAACATTTAGAGAGAAAAATCAAAAGAGTCGTTCGGCACAAAGGTTTTGACCAAAGAACTCTGGTTTGTAAAACGTTGAATATATCCTATAATAGTAAGAATAACATTTACTTGCGTCCGATAACCCATATTGTATTTTAACCTCAGTACAACGATATCGCGCTCTTGACTCTGGATAAACCGGTGAAGTTTGATAAACAAATACACCCAATATGTTTGCCAACGGGCAGATCTATGTACGCGGGACAGACGGCCACAGTCATCGGCTGGGGCAGCTTGAAAGAGAGTGAGTTTCGGAGAAGGGGGAGGTGTAACAATTTTTGAGATTGAAAATCAACCCGGTGTGTTGTCTGTTTTCAGGTGGTCCGCAACCGGCGGTTCTGCAGAAGGTCACCGTACCAGTGTGGACAAATCAGGAGTGCAAGTACAAGTACGGAAACGCGGCCCCTGGCGGGATCGTAGACCACTTCTTATGTGCGGGCAAAGCAGCAAGAGACTCTTGCAGTGTAAGTATAATTAATAATTTCTATGTAACATTCTTTATAATATTGCCATCCTTTTTAAACTACGAGTATTTATGGGCATAAGATACGTTCGTATATTTTATACAATTTCGTTTTTAAAAAATGTTTTTGTTAGATCGAAATGCTCGAAAATTGAATACAAAGTTCATCATAAGTAGTTATAATAGTGGTTGAGAAGATTAAAGATCCATCCATATGATTTTTTATAAGGATTTAAAGTTGACATTTTGACAAAATTTATCAAAATCTCGAAAATTTTCTAATTATTTTGTAGTTAAATTTTTTTTAAATATTCAATTTTTATAGATAAGGAGTGAAAATTAAAAACGAGAAATGTCATAAATTTTTCATACTGTAACCAACAAATCTAAAAAATATATGAACACAGTTCTATTTTATAGACATTTTAAGTTCAAATTTGGACGACATTTTGACACATATTAAAACCAAAAATGAGGGTTTTAGTTATTTTTTTGTAATTAAAAAATATTATTTGTGAGTACATGAAACTTTAAGAGTATTAATATATTTTATACACACAATGACATTTTCAAATGTAATTTTTTTGGCAAAAATGAATTTAACCTCTAGTACCATAGTACCTAAAATAGTAAAATAAATTACTTTCACCACAACAATATCATCAAATATGCTTATTAAAATAATAGGCTGACAGACCGTCATCGCTCGGAATCGTTTTTCGTATACGGTGGTTTTATATCTTTGAATTGAAATTTAACACATCCATTACAGTGACTCTCTAGATACTTAATTTACAGCAGAACGTTTAACCCTCTTTTTATTTTTGTTAAAACAGGGCGACAGCGGAGGTCCTTTGATGCTCAACGATGGTAAATGGACCCAGGTGGGTATCGTCAGTTGGGGAATAGGATGCGGAAAAGGCCAGTACCCGGGAGTATACACCAGAGTTACAAGTTTCATGAACTGGATTACAAAAAACTTGAAAACGTAAATTGATATAAGCATAGTATTATACTTACCGTTAATAATTGTGTTTCGGTAAATTATATATATTTATATTATTTTATTTTGTACATATTTAAGTTAGTATTAATAATTATATTTTTTATAATCTTATGTTCTTTACACTTTTTGTATTGTTCTCAATTTATTTTATTTTATATTTTACTTAAAAATTAAATGATATACATAAATATGAATTATTATATGATGGATGTAATCTCAATTCGTTATAATGCTGTCGCCTTTACTGACGAATCCTTTTTCGGAATCTAGAATTACCATATCACCTGAAATTCAAAATTTAATCCTCGTTTCAAATCTCGAAATTGTTATTGTTTTATTTTTCGTCTTACCCGTTTTGAAGTATTTTTTGACATTTTGTACTCCTACAAGACAGGGTAACCCGTATTCTCTGGCGACAACGGCTCCTATATACAAACGCGATAATAATTGTGATTAATATTGTACGTAGGATTTACATTATTTTGTTTTAATTGCACACCGTGAGATATTACACCACCGATCTCCGTGATTAAACCGGAAATAATCGGAAAATATGGTGACCAAGCTATGTCGACAGATTTCACGATCAAAATGTCTCCCGTCCGCAAGCAACGCGCGTCTTCGATGTGCTCTAGTACACACGCACGGTTTTTAACCCGTCCAGGAAACACGGAACAACCTTTAAACCGTGTAGAACTGTTAACAGATTCCTATACATGGAGTTGTAATTAAAACAAATATAAGTACAATTTGGAAGGATTAAATAAACGGATCAAATATATAATATTATAGTATAATCAACCTCGTCTAAAAATGTTCTAGGAACAGGTGGTCCGTAACACACGTCGTCAAACTGCAACAAGATCCAATCGGGCCACAATTTACGTCTTTTCGTTGCTCTATAAAATTAAACAAATTTGTAAGAAAAAAAACCAAATATGCGAATGACGCATTATTAATACTGTTAAGAGAAGCTTATAACTTATAAGGATTAAAAATACAATTCGTCGACATATTTACTAGGTATTTATCATAGATTATAAATACTATTATTAGGTTGCAACCAAAAACCGCACATTTTTTCGACTCTAAAAAGGTCGATAAGCAAAAATCACACACTTTATTGGTTCATTGTATAGCTAATTACCGCACATTATTTGTAATCTACAGCAGCGTTTCCCAAACTGTGGTCCGCGGACCCCTAGGGGTCCGCACGTATACCGGAGGGGGTCCGCGAACGTAAATTAAAAATTTACAAAGTATACCTATCCATAAAACGAAAATAATGATGCAATATTCGTATTACATGGGAAATACTGTTGATAATAAATACATTGTTGAAATAGTTATCGTTGAAAAGCAATTAAGATTAGTTACTAAATATGCAAATCTTTTCAATAATTTTGAATGGCTCTGTACAGTGGCCTATTTGGCTGATATTTTTAATTCTCTGAACTCATTAAATATTAGTTTACAAGGGAAAGAAGACAATATTTTTCACACGGAGGATAACATTGAAGCTATGGAGAAAACGTGCCCTTCAAAACAATTTTAACCACTTTCCAACTCTTTATGCATTTATAGAATCATCCGATGAAGTTTTTCCTCAGGACACAAAAGATATAATTATTGAACACCTCCAAATTTTGAAACATTCATTTCGAAAATATTTTCCAGTTCCTGACAAAAATAAAAATTGGGTAGTAGACCCTTTTAATGCAGATGTCCCTGATATAACTGGTTTAACAACAACACAAGATAATCAATTAATCGAAATATCCAGTAATTCTAATTTAAAAAGGGTTTTCAAAGAATCTTCTTTGTCTTCTTTTTGGTTGAGTATAAGACAAGACTATCCAGAAATATCGGACTCAGCACTAAGGCCATTGATGCTTTTTTCAACAACTTATCTCTGTGAAAAAGGATTTTCAGCTTATGTGTACACTAAAAATAAATATAGAAATCGATTAAATATAGAATCAGATTTACGTATTCAACTTTCTAATATAGATCCTAAAATACCAGATTTAGTATTAAAGAAACAACACCATCCATCACATTAAACGCATTAATTATTTATTATAAAAATAATATATCTATTTATCCATTTTTTTTTATTAATTCAATTTTTCATTATAAACATATGTGTATTTAATTTTAAAAATAAAGCAAACAATTTAGTATTATTATTTATTATTGCTTTAATTTAAATTTTTATTTAGGGGTCCGCGATCTTTTTTATTTTCTCTAAGGGGGTCCGGCAGAGAAAAAGTTTGGGAAACGCTGATCTACAGTATAGACTCCAAATGTATTCCTAATTTTGAAAACTTTTCCCAAGTTTATCAAATGATTTGGAAAAAAGCACTAAATAGTAAATATCGATTTAAATTGCTACCCAAAATTAAAAAAATACTTATATTTACAAATAACTAATAAGATAAGTCTGTTATTATAACACGTAAAAAATATTAGAATTCTTGTATAATTATGGTGAAGAGTACTGGGTTGACGGTTATTTCTTTTATATTGTTTTATTTAAATAAACAAATAAATTATACATTATATTACATTTATTTTTAAATGTAATGAAATATTTTCGGTTTTTGGATACAACAACCTTAAACAATGAGGGGTTCTGTCATGTATTTTCTTTAAAGTCTGTGGTTATTGGATTTGACGTATAATTATAGTATTTATAATCAATGGTATTATATTTAAAACACTTACTTGTGCACTATTTCGGGACAATTATTGCTACCACACATCTTTCTTACTTCGTACTGGGACATGAAAAATATTAGTTTCGAATCCGGTATTCTTCCTTCAGCCACCAGTTTATCGCCGAGTTTTCGATAGCCTAATCTCAGCTTGTGAGTGATCTGCACCAACATATCTTTTGATTGTTCTCTGTATGAAATACTTTGACGATATTTCTTTAATAAGTAATCGAATATAATTCTAATGGAACAAAAAATAAATTTTAAATTCAGCATTTCATAAATGTCTTTAACTAATTAAAAATACTTTTTAATATATCCTCTTGAAACAGTACTAGAATTGATGTCTGTTGGTTTTTTATCGGATTGACGATGTTCGTACAATATTAAAGATTGGAGGCACGAAAACAATCGGTTGCGATCGGTCGACCATGTTTCTGAACCAAAATCTAACTATAAAATCAGTAAAAAAATAGTTGATTCTTAAGGCTAACAGGAGTGATAATGATTAAAAAATAAATTTAATATAATGTAAGAAAATCGATATGTAATGAAAATTGAATATAATTTTTTTCATTATCAAACTATTTTATACATACCTATAATATTGATGGTTAAATCATAAAGTTTTAGCTTAATACAAGATCTTTCATTTTCATTTTTGCATAAATAACTATTATGAGTGTACAAGTGTACTTAGTAAGTATAAGTCAAACCTCTTGGACACCACGGTGTCCATATTTTTTAATGAAATCTTCCACTTGGGCATAACCTTTCTCACAATTCAATTTTAACCAGTCGTTACAGTTTTCAACGGGCAAATCGCAAAATTCTTTTTTTGAAGACATTTCGGAAACGATGGCAGCAATAGTCTAAAAAAATAATCGAGTATTTTAATTAAAAAATATATCACAATATTATATAATATGCTCATAGACTTTACTTGAATATCTTTTAGAATTGAAACGTTTATTATGTCTGGTGTATCAATTGAGGCCGCTAAATCAGATAACGTGTCGATTGGAGAGTCTAAAAATTCAAATCTCAATAGTTTTTAATCTATATTAAAAATTGTATTTGTGGAAAAAGTGGCAATAATTAAATAAGCTTACCTTTATTGAAATCTAGTCCTAATATTGCTAACAATGTATGTGATATGATATTATTCGTGCTCGACGCCACGTGACAAAAAGTGACCTTTAATCAAGTCGTTCAAAAAATAATATTTAAGCTTATAATATATTAATATACAATGGTACCTATATATCTGTATATTTTAAATAAAGGCAGCGTTAAGGTAGTTGCTTTTGGTAATTAAATTTCATTAAGAATTTTTTTCAAAGTTGTAATTAAATTACTTTTTAAATATTTATTTAGTCAAGTTTGGTGGAGTTCAAAAAACAAACTTCATTACAATTAAATTATTTCCCAAGACTGTAATAAGAGTATTAGTTTATTGAATGTATATTATAATACCTTTTCTAAAACATCCACAACGCTATTGATATTGTTTAAAAGATCCAACGCCGTGTCTGATTGTTCTATGTTTACACTACAAATCAATTTGTGTGTTTCGTTTATTCGCGATTCAAGATAAAGTGTTTCCTAAACGATATTTTATGAGTTTCTCAATTCATTTTTACATATAATCTATAATATACAAAATAAATACCTACCTTAAATGTAGAAATAGATTTCAAAATTTTTTTTAACGCAGAACTGCGATTTTTCAATAATATTTTCTCCCAGATTTCACTTGTTAAGAAACATTTTCCGGCTATCGAATACTCAATTATCTTAACATATACGCTGCCAGGTTCTAAATCTTGGAACATCTTTCATAAAAATAGATAGACGATAAATCAATATAATAGGTATGGCAAATGAGTTACATTTTTATAACGTTTGTGTTTGTATATTGGTACTTACTTGACATACGTTAAGACACATGTTGTTGTGCGTGTAGGACAACTGTTTGTTGCGATAGATCTCAGTGGGCTCTCCTTCGGTCAATTTAAACAGTGGATACATCGGAAAAAAATCCAAAGTCAACGATAAAGTGTGCATAGGGTTGGGGTAGACTTCTCTGAAATTGGACAAATTACTGTGTTAATTTGTTAACCTACTGGATTCTGTAGCAATGTAATTGCTCTGCGATCTAACTTCACATTGTAAAACATAATCACGTCGTCGCTCGTAAATGGCGTGTCAAATTCATGTGTAATTTCATCGTTACTCCAAGCGAATATGGACGTGATCGGTCTCGACTGGAGAAGGTAAACTCGATCCTGAAGGCGGAAGGCGATAATTAACAGATGTTTATACACCTAAGAACGCTTTAAACTATATTTTTTTGAACAAGTTAACCGTTCAGTAAATAGTTAGGTATATCTGTAGGTGCACAGTAATAATAAATTGATAATCATGTATTCATATTTTACTCGTAATTTTTAAACTCATAATATACGAGTATAATTATATTA